GAACCGCTACCCAGAGGCTAAAAAGATACAAAAACAGACCAAAAAATGGCGCTAAGGTCATTTTCCCAGATGTGGTTTATTTTACTGTCATTGAATTCCTAGCCCGCTGTCCCCAAGGGGTGCTGTGCAGCTCAGCGGCCAGCTGGTAGCTCTGAAAACCAAGGGTTTCCAACACTTGCAGGCTGCTCCAGGAACACGGAGCATCACTTCGGTGTCCTTCAGGGACCGAGGTCATCTTCAGCTGTTGGGACTGCTGGAAACAGCCGGAATTATTGTTTACCTCCTGCTTGCAAATGTAGAAAGCGGTAGCTGAATGCAGACAGACGGCCAGAGCACGCTGCCCGAGCACATGTATATATAAATGTATGTACCGCATGCATAATTGCATACCTTTCCGTGGTGCCACAGGAGGTCTGAAGCAGGTTAAAGCCCAAACGGTCTCATTCTACTCCAGTCTAAAGCACAAAGCCTGGCCTAAAGCCCAAGGGGGCGCAGAACTGCCGACCGGCTGGTTAAAAGGGGACTTTTGCCTATAAAAGGGCGACCCTTGCAAAGCTGGCGAGCGCCGGTGAAGGTGGGCACCGCCTGCTGCCCCTGGGGCCGAGGACGTGGCGGAGCAACCCCCCGTCTAATTCTGCTCCCTGGTTTGAGCCCCTCTCCCCGCCACGCTCTTGCCCCGTGCAGCGCAGCCAGGCGTTACCAGGGGTGCTGCAAAAGGTGTGCTGTAAAACTGGCGGGCGAGAGAAACTAAAATCTGCGGGGCACTGCAACGCCCAGCGGCAGGGAGCAGCTCCCTTTAGCAACGCCTAATTCTGATTAGAAAAAAAGAAATCTCATGCCTGTCCTTGCTCCATGGAGCATCATCACTTGGCAGCCCTGCTTGTGCCGAGCGCTGCCCGGCAGCAGGATGGGGCTGAGCTGGGGCTAAACCGATGCGGCGGGTGCTCGGCAGGCCCGCGGTGCTGGCACAGGATCAGTCCCGGGGGTGTTCAAGGAGTAGACTGGGTGCGTCCCGGTCAGGTACCTACAGCATCAGGGAGTGGTGTATGCCTGTGTGCTTCTGGTATCCAGCACTGGAGTAAAGTTTAGCCATGACTACTGAGAGGGAAACAATTGGCTGAACATTTCCACATAATATTTATAAAGCGGAATTTATACTCGTGGCAGGAGGACTGATGGAGCTGGTGCTTTACAGAGACTGGTTCCCAGCTGAGACTGGAAACTTAAAGCCAGGAGTGCCAGCACCAGCGGGTGAGCTGCTGTGCGAGGCTCCACGCTGACGGTGCCCGGGCGCGGGTGAGCCCCCGGCTGCATGGCTGGGATTTTAACGGGAAGGGGTAGGAAACCCATGTCCCCCCCACAGGTCTGCCTGCAAGACCCCTCATGGAGGGAAGGAAAAGCCCCTCGCCAGCTTATTCCAGCCAGGGAAAAGCATTTCAGATCCTCTAAGCATCCCTGCCAGCGCCGAGGTGACTGAACACAATGACAAACGGGCCAGATAAGCAGGATGAGGTTTATTCCCGACAGGATGGTGTGGTTATTCCGTGATGTGTCACAGCGTTACCGGATTCTCGAGCCCTAACCCAGGGCGGTGCCGGACAGGGGCTAAATGTGCCAGAAGCGCGGTTACCGGCTTGCCAAGGGCGCAGGGGCTGTCCCCCTCCCCAGGGTGCTCGTGCCGCCCACAGCAAGAGGCACGCATGGGACCCCGCAGAGCGGGGCTGGGCCAGTGCACCCCAGCCCAGGGCTTGGTGGCCTCCATCACCCCTCAGGGACATCCCCCATCCCATCTCAGGCACCCCAAAAGGCACAGAAAGGGTGAGTTAAACAGCAAAGCCTGTCCATGAAGGGTGCCGGGTCCCCCGTCTCCCACCTGGGCACCTCCGGGCTGGGTCCCTGGTGGGAGGCAGAGGCCCCTCACCACCCTCAGGGCTCCCCTCGGGCAGAGAAGGCTCAGCCCCAGCCAGGGAAGAGCCTGGTGCTTTTCGGAGAGCTGATTTCACCTGCGTTGGCAGGGGCACGGCGCCAAGGGGAAGACGTTCAAGACACGCCGGAGGACAGCAAGTTCAGTGTTCCCCGAGGAGGTCAGTAGATCATTTTAGTGCCGTTACACGAAACATTCAGGAACGCGGGCGTTCACTACCCCGGGCAAGGCTGGGGCTGGGTCTGTTAACGTCAGATGGGGGTGGGAGAGGATGAAGCGGCCTCCTGGAGGGGCTGCATGCGAGGCCTCCTCCTCGTCCCTTCCAGCCGCCCACGGTGCTGTTTGTTTTACAGCTGCTGGAGGATAATGTCAACTGCTTCGGCGAGGTTGTTCACGTACGCGTCGGGCTTCACGTCAGGGTGGTTTTCATCGCAAGGCCTGCAAAGGAGACAGAAGGGCCTGGCTGAGCAAGGACGGGCTCCCAGCCAGGTCCCACCTCCCCGGCCGTCCTGCTGCTGCTGCGCCCACGGAGCCCAGGGTAGCTCCGAGGTGGCCCCAGAGGCAGCACCCTCAGGTGAGCCTGGGTTTCACATTTCTCCCTCTTCTGTTTTTTTTCCCCTTTTCCCCCTCCTCTCCCCACCTCCCCCATCCCCAGGTCTTTCCTGCATGCTACGGGAGGTCCCATGCCTTTGTGCAACTGAGCTGGGCAAAACTTCACAAAGCCTTGTGTGGAAGACAAGCTACATCGTTAACTAACGAATCCAAATTAATGCACTGCGGTTTACATGGCACTTCTTCATTCAGGCAGTAGCAGTATGAGACAGGGATCACTGGGAGGACACTTCGCTGCAAGCCTAGGATCCTACGAAACTGTGCAAATAATTACTCTCCCATGGTTTTTCCTTAGAAATAGGTAAAGAAAAGAACTCACTTCCAACCTGGAGACACGAACGGTCTGTACATCGCTTCAGTGAATGGGAAGGCTCTGCCAAGGTTTAATTTTGCAGGACCCCCGCCTTGTAAATCTAACAGGGCTGGTTTCAGATGCTACCATGAAAAGGGTCAGACACCCTCCACCGTGAGTCACCACCCCAAAGCAGAGCAGCTTGAAGCCATTTTTTGGCAATGAGTTAATTAGAGCTACTGGCCTAACGAGGCGCAGATGCACAATCCTATTTTCCTGATTCAGCAGCATTGCTGGTGGGGAGGGGGGCAGATGTGGGAGGCAGGAATTTTCCAAACCTTGTGGTTCTGTTATGGCTCTTGGGCTGAGAAACCCAACAGCTGCTGAAGAGAAAACATATGCATTTTATATGCTTAATGGCTTTCCTCTGGGAAAGAGATGAGAGCCCTAATGTCCACCTCCCATCTCTCTCGCTCCTTGTAAAGGGCAAACCTTTATTTAGCGCAGGCCATTTTCTCAGCGGGGAAGATGCATTTCCCAATGGATGCATAAGAGGCAGAGAGATTATTATTATTATTTATGATGTGCAGAATTTGGTGAGCATTTGTCTGTACAAGTACCAAAATATTTCTTCAGTTCCAGCACTGAAGCTCCCCAGGGCTATTTCCTTTCTGCTCATTTGTCAGCCGTGCTCTTCACGTCCGAGTACGTGAGCTCCTCGCAAAGCCATGGCTGCTTTCGGGACCCCACACTGCTCAACATTTTACTTGCTGCAAAGTTACCGTATGCAAGTAGGAAAAATAAAAGACACCGATATTCAGCTTTCCTTGTGTCACCTGCAAAGCCATGTCTGGCACAAGGACGATGGCTCCATGAAATGGACTCTACATCGGTGCTGGCTGTCATAAAAGCAGCTATTTTAAAAGGTGGAAGGTTATTCCATGGGTCTTTATTTAATTATCTGAGTTCTAGCTTGTTACAGGGCTAGGGTGCAAGAAGAATAGTAATTACCATGGTTTTTACGTTTTCCTCAACTGAAGAAGAATTTAGGTTGCTGAAGGTAAAGCAAGCTATAATATACAATGGAGAAAAACTTTCAAATATAAAGCAAGTAAAAATCCAGTATGTGTTCATCCCTTAGGAGGTGATTATTGCTCACCCCCTGATTTAACTAAGAGGCTTTTATGAATGCAGAAATCCCTTTGGGGAGCATGGTAAAGTACTAATTTCTTGTCAATAATCCTTAATTTGAGTGGAGACCTAAAAAAAGTAACGATCAAAATTTCTTTCCATTTTACACTCTGAAAAACATTTCTTTCCTATCTTGAACGTTAGGAGAAAATGTTAAGAACTGCTTGAAACGAACACTTCTACAAGAAATTTTCAATTACACAGCACTCTCTGATCTATTAAAAGGATTTTGTGGTAGATATTGTGCTGACTATACAGAAATCCACCTGTAACTCAGCAGCTAAATGCCAGTCATCAAGGAAATGCCCTGCATACACGCGATGTGTGCTGCGGAAGAGGTGGGTGTATATATACATGTATGTGTATATACATACTGCAGTAAAGCAAATTAGGAAATAAGGTATTTTTACCCATTCGTCCAAATAACGTGTGATGAGAACACACAGACCGGCCAGCCGCCAGCGCCTGGCTCCAGCGAGGTTAATGTTAAAACCCACCTTAGCTCCAAGGGAGCTGCAAGTTCACCCTGCCGTGCTGCCCAACCACCCCGGCCCCGCGCGACCGCCGGGCTGGACCTGGGCTTCATTTTTGTCTGCTGCACCCCTGTTATTCATCCGAGCCCGATTATTTCTCTTCTGCTTTGCAGTCCAATACCCTCCAGGGTTACAGCTGGGAACCCTAAAATACCCTTCTGCTACCCATGCTGCAGACAGACGGCCTCGCTCACAACAGAAGGGTTTCAATCATTTTACTAATAATTTACTGGCGTTATCCAGAAGAAAATGAGAGGAACCCACAGGCTTACGCAGGAGATGTCTCCCATTACAGCAGGCGGGATGCAGCAGAGCCCAGCGGG